CCAGACCTGGCCGACGCCCCCCTCACTGTAGTGACAGCCGTGCCCTCGAGCATGGACAGCCGCGAGCCCTCCAGCCCCTCCCAGACCACCTTAACGAGCCTTTTCTAACAGTGGTTTTCTTTTTTTGTTTTCTTTTTTAAATGCCCCCTCTTCTTTCGATTCTGATCCTAATTATTATTATTTTATTATTTACAAGACCTCCCCCCCCTCCTAACCCGCAAGATGTTTGGGAAATTAAAACAGCTTGGTGTGTAGCATCGCATCAGCAGCCACGTGACGAATGGGTTTACAGCCCCTTCTCCTTGACAAAGTGTATTTTATTATTATTATTATTATTATATTTTTTGTCCACAAAGTGTAGTTGGATTTTTGGTGGTTTTTTTTAAAAATTAATCAGATCATTCAGTCGGCAAGGGGAGTTTTTGAATCCTCCAAGTGCCTCTTAAAATTGTATGTTACTTATTTCCAGAAATCTCGGAGGGGAAAAAAAAAGAGAGAGTGGTATTTTGATGGGCAAATATTCATATTCCCGCTTAAGTGATTAGGTTAATAAAGTATCAGTCGATGAAAACGCTTTAGGAAATCTTGCAATTGTATGTGTACTTAGGGAATTTTGAAAACGTCCTATTTAAAAAAATTTTTTAACTGGAAAAAAAAAGATGTTTTGGTCACTCCTTTTTCTTACGAAAGAGGAATATGATTACACAAAAGCACTAACGGTAGCAGCTCAAATACGAGAGATTCATTAGATTTATGAGGCTGAACAACTCGGAAATGTGACTCTTAGGGTTGTACAGCTTCACAAAACTCCCCCTAGCTCCTTGCTTTTCAACATTTGGACAATACTTAAACTCCCTTCGTACCCACAAAACTCCACATAGGACTTGAAATCCTACATTTTTTAACCTTCAAAAGCTGCAAATGGTAGTTGTAAAACCATTCTGTCCAAATTAATCCCCCTTTCCAACCCTGCAGGGAACGTGGAAATAAGCAAAATATAACTTTTTAAGGAGTCGAAAGAAATCAGCATAAACTTAATTCATAGCTTTATGAATTGGCTTGAGCTGTACCATGGTATTGTGTCTGGCATTCTACGTGAATAATGTTTAAAAAAAAAACCAACCAACTTAATAGACGAATACCAACCATGAGAATTCTTTGATGTTCTGTTTTATTTTACTTTGGCACAGCTCGATATTATTTGTCAGAAGCAAACTTTTCTGACATTAGAGATTCAAAGTCATTAACGCAGATAAACTCAGAGGCCTCCTGGATGCTGATCTGAATATATTTCCTAGTTTACGGTAGCATTTTTTTTTGTTCTCCTTTTAATTTAAGCTAAAATCGTAATGGTCTGGGCAGTGGTGAATGTCCATGTGTAGGCTTCCGTTGTAGTTAAATACCAATTAGAATGTGGATTTCCTAAAAAATAAATAAAATAAAAAAAGGAGTCAAGATATATGTCTTGCTTTAGTGGATTGTTAAGAATAACTTTGCACATGTTCCCCACTTCTTGGCCCCCTAAAATCTCCTCTGGTGGTCGAAGTGGCAATTTCATAGATTTTTTTTTTTCAAGGTGTCCTGGCTGTTGTATAGACGTGTGGTTACATATTGACAGTTCACTGCCCACATTAAAGTGCATTATCGTAACTTTTGCTCAGGGTCTTTAGAAAATTAGCACAGAAAGTAGCTTATTTTTTAAAAAAAGAAATAAAGATGATGGGAGATAAGTTAACACTGTAACAGAAGGAAGGCGTGATCGCCATTATATACCTAGCACGCGTGGTATCATCTTCAATGGGGCGGAAATCTTGACTTTCCCTAGTTCTATTCGATTTTGGGCATTTACCACTAACCAGACCAAACAACCTTGATAAGGCTGAGATGTTCTTCATACACTTTTTACAGGTAAACTAGCGATACTTACACATGTTGTTCTCTGACGGAACAATCTATGGTACTATAGATCTACTTTATGAAGTAGACGGATTTATAACTCAGTTCTCCTATGTGCCTTAATGATCTCACTTAGAAGTAAGTTTGTGGAAAAAAAAAATCAGGATGATATGTGTTGTTTGTTAACTTGTTTGAAGCCCTATGACGCCTCACTAGTTTTGTACTGTTTTACCTCTTATTTCCTGAAACTCTTTTTATGGTGTAATCCGGTTAGAGGGACGAACATGTCATAGAAAGCGGTGTGCACTCTTTCAAATATAGTTGATAAATTCAATAATCTTATATATTGAGCTTCGTGTTTATAGTACAGTAAGTGGTCTAGCAGAACTGTCCCTGTTTTCTTTGTTTATTGATAAATGCATTGTATAGAAACTATTTCCCCTAAATATTTATTGGACCAAACAGTTGTGATTTATCCTATTAAATTTGTGTGAATAAACCATTTTGAATCTAAGGAGTTTTATTTCCCACAAGTTTTATTTAAAGCTTAACCGGACCAATGTGTTTCCAATACTATACAGTATGTAAAAGCTACTAAAAGAGCAATACAAACGCTTTTTTTAAAAAATAGTCAAACATACAAAGAGTTTTAAGATCTCCAAACTTCTGATTCGCTTGAAATGTACACCCCATTGCAATGTCATTCTACGTGGAGTTGCCTTTGAATCTATTTTCTTAGGATACAAGTAATGCCCCATAGATTTGAGTCAGCCCAAGTTTTGGAATTAAAAAAAAAAAGAGAGATAACTAACAGATAAAGTGAATTGCATGAAAAGAAACCTGAAATATGATTAAGATTTAATAGTAGGTCTATTGAGCACCAATGGATGTTTGTAAATCTAAATAGAAATTGACCCCTAAAAGCCGAGTTGCTCTGTAGTTAATAAATTGTCACTATGATTTTTTTCAGGGAGAACAAATCTTGGGGTATTACAGCCAAACATCCCGACGATTGAAAATTCCCTAAAGTATTAAAAGAAGGGGAAAGTTTGATCGGAATTCCACAGCAGTGAAGACAAAGACAAATATTAGGTTATGCTAATCACACACTCTAAAAACCGATTGAGCCAAAAAAAAAAAAAAAAGAGCGAGAGAGAGAGACTTAAATGTCATTTCCTGATGGTGAACAATAAATAATTCTGTTCTTTATGATGCCGAACACACACACACACACACACACACACACACACACACTCGGGGGCTTCACGTGATGTGGTGGCTTAAAACGAAACGAGATAGACCGCGTATAAACAGAGCCACCGGCAGCCGTATGCCCGCCTCACCTCTGAAACCAGTTATTCTCGGAAAAGCAAACCCCACACACTTGTCAAGCACAGTGCAGTCCCCCCACTTCCTCTCGCCTGCTTGCTCACGTGTCCTAAAGACCCTGTGAATGGCATCTTCCAATTGTAAAGTCAGAGCCACCCCAGGCCTCACTGGAGAGAGTAGGGAATCACCCCCCACCCCCACCACCTCCCCCCTCCCCCCGTAATTCTAGTCTTCTTGTTTATTCCTTTCGAATCAGAAATCTCTGCATGTACCTCTCCACCCACCACTCCCGGTGTGCACCTCTGTATGAAGCCTTCTCTTTGCTGTTTCCTGTATGATACGTAGCTTTCACGAATAAACATTGCCTGCGATGCGAGCAGAGTTCACTGTATGTGAGAGACACACACAGGGTCGAGGTGAACGTTGCATGCCGTCTCCAGGAGGCGGCGCCCCGCATCTCCAACTTGTGAGACGTTAGGAGAAGAGTCGAGTTGGGTTTGACGGTGGAGGTTCCGTGCTGGTAGTCTAGGATGCCATTGCTTACCTGGTTTTGAACGTTTCGTGGATCAATGGACGTGTATTAAAAAGGAAAGAAAAAACACACACAAAGAAACCCAAAATGACAACACAATAAACGTAGAATCGAGTGGCACGTCAAATCTCAGCAGCTTTTTTAGACGGTTAGGGTGACATTTACAGACGCTCCGTACGTCTACATGTTCGCTATGCAATGGGCAGACTGATCGAAGTATCCAAATTCATTCTTGAACTCCGCAAAGACCCACCCTTTGCGGAGTTCAAACTACATGACACGAGATGCAGCGGGAGCACGTGGAGAGGGGAACACGTATGTAGGAATGAGGTTTGTGTTGTTTTTACATTGTTAACGGGGATGTTGGAAGAAAGGATTTTCTAACGATTGCTATTTAGCTGTATATCCAAAGCAGATGTGAAACACGTTAGCGTCTAACTTTCCAGGAAAATTTTTCATGCTGATGAAATTTTTATTATATACAAATGAACCCTATGTAAATGATGTAACTTTTACGAATGACAGACATTAAATATTTCACTGACATGTGTTCTCAGAATTTTGAATGTTTTCTTAAATGCTTTCACTTCCTGAATACCCCCCCCCCAAAAAAAGACAAAGAAAATGTAAAGAGAGAAAAACTCACTGGTTCAAAAAAAACAAAAAAAACAAAACAACAACACACCATGACACGTAGATAATGCTGAGCGATCGCCAAGCATGCTGGATATTTATGCCTCGTTGAACCCCCACTCCTGGTTTAGTAACTTAAATAGATTTTCGGATCCGTTTCCAGCCAGCGTGTGGGAGTCTCTGCCACCTGGCTTCCTCCTGTTGCCCATCTTCTCCGTCACCTGGGGCAGTTTTGGTCAGAAATACTGTGGCTCCTCACCGGTCCTACAAACCTTTGGGTACTTGTTTGGCCTGTGAGATGCAGGGAGAGGGCAAGTGCATCATTGAGAGTGGACATCGGGGGGACAACATAATACGTATTTGAAGCAGCACATTTTAAAATTATTTTTACTTTTTAAGTACATTTTTATTGATTTCAGAGAGGAAGAGGGAGGGAGAGAGAGACTGACAAATCATGGATGATGAGAGAGAATCACGGATCAGCTGCCTCCTGCACGCCCCACGCTGGGGATGAAGCCTGCAACCCGGGCCTGTGCCCTTGACCGGAAATCGGACCGTGACCTCCTGGCTCATAGGTGGATGCTCAACCCCTGAGCCACGCCGGCCGGGGGAAACAGGCCCATTTTTTTAAAAAAGCAAAAGGAAGCACGCTGACCATGTGAGTTTGAAGAGAACAGAGCAGGTGACAGAGTCGAAGGGCTGCCAGGCGCCCGCACACGGACTCTCCGGCACAAAAGCGAAGGAGGCGGGTGTTGGTAGAAATCAGGGCTCTGAGGTTTCGTAGCTTCTAACTCCCCGAGGCCTGGGTTAGTCTAATGTCTGGCAAATGGATCTTGTGCACAAAAAAGCGAAACAGAACCCATGAAAGCTTTGCTGCGAGTGTCCGTCTGCTTTGGTGGTGTGGCCCCGCCATGCTGCCCTGCGGGGCCTCCCCCAGGGATCAAACTCCCTCGCACCCAAAGCCGACACTTCTAGCATCACCTGGAAAATATCTTTATTTAACACCCCCCTGAGGAGCCCCTCCATGTGCTTTCACAGTGACCTCTCTTTGGACCCCAAGGGTCTGGAAGCCATAGAGAGAGACGGCCTGGCTTCCTGGGGCAGTGTCCTAGCAGGGAACGTTCCGGAATGGCAACGTGGAGGCCTGGCGGGCTGGGCTCTGCGGGCAACGCCTACGGGTGATGCCGTCGTTCTCCAAGGTCAAGAGCAACTCCTAATAGTGCGTGGAGTCTGGCTCTCGGGTTGTCAACTCTGTCAGGGACCAGGGCTCGTTGTCCTGCAGAGCCTGTGGCACGTGCATGGCCCCTGGGCACCGGGGTCGCAGAAGGACGCCGGGACTTTGTCCAAATCGCAGGACAGACGTTGTCTTTGCCGTGACACCGCAGGTTTGGGGACATTCCGGCTTGGCCTTCCGGGCCTGCTGCCTGTGTGGAGCGCTGGGGGGCCGAGGCGGGGCATTTAAACCCACAGAACCCCTCCCGTGTAAAGCCACCATTCTCTGCTCTACGGCTAAAGTCAGAATCAGAAGTCCTTTATGTCTTTCTGGGGCGCCGGGGACCCCAAAACATTTTTATCCTGCCTGCTCTGCCCTGAGAACCGTGTGTGTGTGTGTGTGGGTGTGGGTGTGTGTGTGTGTTTCAGAATAATATTACCATGGGCCTAATTTTCAAAACCGATTCGAAGTCTAAGTTGCTATATTATTCGGAATGCCCTCCGGGGACATCCCTGTCTCATTTGACCAAAAATAAAGCGTAGAGCCGTGCGTGGAACTCAGGGAAACGTGGGTGACACGGATGCAAGTAGCAACAGAACCACAACTGAGCTGCTCTGTAACGGTGTTTAAACACAGGTATTTTTAAAAATCTACCATCACTCCCACTATTAACACAGTAAGTCCCCCCTGATCATGCGAGCCCCCTGCGTGTTTTTCTCCCCTGGGAGGATTGATCTCGCTCCTTTGCACACAGACATTTATCTTGTGCTGACATAACCGGCCTCAGGGGTGGGGGTGGGGAGCGGAGGCCGGGGAGGGCCCGGGCACTAGCCATGGGTAGGAAATCCCGATGTGCGTTTCTGTGTATTTTCTCCTCGCCCATGAGGATCGTCAGGGACAATTTTTTGTTTGTTTGTTTGTTTCCTTTGCATCTTCCTCTTTACATCTGGCATGACCTTCTCCATGAATCTGAAGAGTGACTGGCCACCTTTCACGCTCATTTGAAAATAAAATGTGCTATGCCCTGACCGGTTTGGCTCAGTGGATAGAGCGTTGGCCTGCGGACTGAAGGGTCCCGGGTTCGATTCCAGTCAAGGGCATGTACCTTGGTTGCAGGCACATCCCCAGTGGGGGGTGTGCAGGAGGCAGCTGATGGATGTTTCTCTCTCATGGATGTTTCTAACTCTCTATCCCTCTCCCTTCCTCTCTGTAAAAAATCAATGAAATATATTTTTAAGAAAGAAAAGAAAATGTGCTACAAACCAGGCGCCCGGGCCTCCGTGGCCCCGGGTCACCTGTGCATCTTTTC